TGTAAATTATTGCTCATTAATAAAATCGCGCGCACACACAAACACACTTTGTACAACTCACTTCGTATTTAACTACGGGCTAACTTGGAGGAGTGGAAGGACACAAAGAGAGCCCTTTGCCTATTTAAACGTATCAGAAAGTAGAAAAATGGTCACGTTTCAAACGGCACGGGAAGTAATCCGCATAGTACTGAAACAGGACGTGTCACGTTGTACATTTTTCATTTTCTAGGCATAAAGGAAATCTCCCACAAATGTGCAGCAGCTGCACAAGGACATGCCACGGATGTTTTGAAAGCACAATTAGGCCATACAACCAATGTGGATTCCTACGAAAGAGCCGCGCACAATGGAGTGCCCATAACCGTGTGAATGCCAACACTTGATAAGGGCATGTGTTTACTACATTATTCAACATCCTGCCTGCGTGCTAAATATGAGCAAGGAATGAGACCAGTCTTCCTGGGACAGAGGAAATACCTTTCCATGTGTTGACTATTCTCTACAGCTGCCCTTTTAAACAACTGCAAAGATTGTCGGACGTTTAAAGCCACGGCATAATGTTTAATGCTGCTACATGGTAAGTTTAGAGACTGCTTTGACTATGAAGGCATTTGTCATATTTGTGGACAAATGCACTCGCATTTAAATTCCTGCAAATGGACCAACAATGCCACGCTGAACAGAAACAAAACGCAAAATACTCCGACGGGACTTGGGTCAAACATTCCAATGCCGTTCTTATGAGCGTGCTCATTACTTTATGAAACAGAGTATTAACTGGCATAATCACATCTTGCACGTGGTGGTGGTGGTAGTGGCCTGGCACAGGCGCTGCGATGACATCGCCGTCACTTAGTGGCGAATGGCGGGTGTTGGGTAATGTGGTCGTGAAAATATTCCGACATTATTTAGCAGTCCCGGCATGAACATTTCCATATTTGTTTGAAAGGGCTTTTTTTGGGTTGTTGTTGTTAAAGGATGCAAAAGAATATTAAATTATAAAGTTAACAAGCTCCACAGTTGGTAACGGAGCCAACCAGCTACGCGTTTAGACCAAACGCAAGTTACAACAATTAAGACCAGGTATCCGAGCTGCATAATCCCCAACACTCCCAGCTATTTCCGTTAACACATGCCAAGATAATGACAACATTACGCGCATTACAATATTTGTGACATTCCAATTTCCTTAATTACCACAAAAACACTAAACGAGCATGTATGTGACACACTCCTCCTTTTTTTTTAGCCACCTGTGTATACTGACCGCGTAAAACTGCCTGTGTATACTGTCGGGGCAATTGTTGTTGTTCGAAAGCACAGTGCAAGAGTGGGTTGAGAAGGCCAGCATCACGCATGCCTGGTCACCTTTGTCTCCCTATTACTGATGTTGACACACCAAACCAGGCAATCATTCTATTCCAAGACGGATCCAGGATATGCCAAACAGGTTAATATTTCAATTGCCTCTGAACACTCACACTTCCAGTATAACATCAAATTCTAAAAATATTTATAAAAACAATTGAAAAATAAATTTGGAGACAGAATTACGAAAAATATATCAAGCTACACGCACTTCATTTTCAGAATGGGTGTCAATTAAATAACCCAAGGAGCGTATCATTGTTAAATTGGCAACGACACACTTTTAGAGTTAACTGGGAGAATGTTGCGAAAATGTTCTACATTTCTAACAGTTAGCACAGTGTAAGCCGAAGCATTCTCCCCGTGCCCTCCAACATCTCGGCAATAACTGCATCACCGCACGACGCTGTATCGTATGTCACTGCCGCTCGGCTGACAGGCATGGGCTAATTATAAACCAATTTCACATTCACTCAACTTAAACCATCAGGGTCTAAAAGTCCCCGGCTATCCTTTGCCTAAACTGCTTGTGAGGAACAGACGTTCTGCCAATCAAGCAAGCCTGGCACACATTTATTTTAAGCTTCAGCACCACTGTTGATTCAGAGTATCCAAGGATATACTAAGCAACGCCGCGTGGCAAAACGCGTAAACATAAATCGCTACACGCGCATGCAAATGTTTTAAGCAGCTCGCTTACTTCCCCAAGCCTGCTTTACGACTGGAAATAATGACCGACTTTATTTCTTTAAAGTCTGGATTCAAATAAAGTCTTAAAAAATGCCTCGCCATTCCATGCAAGTCTTCTTGCATTGTGGGTAGGGGCCCAGCTTAATAAACATCAACTGGACACATTAACATTCCAGACCCTAATTCCTGGACAATTACCGCCTTTCAGCATGGCTAAATGGTTCAACTGTGAAATTCGAATTATCAAAAGAGGACATACACAAATCAGCGTGCGTGGAATTCCTCACGACAATATCTCATCTATTACAGCTCGCCAATAGAGGCCTTGCACCGACGGCCCAAAACCGCCATGCACTTGGAAATGAAGATCATCTTTGTCCAAAAAAGAGAGGACCGCTCGGTTTAATAGCGCATTCAAATTTCACCCGCTCTTTTCAGTGCGAGGTTTGGGCGGTTGCAAGCACACCGAACACCCACAGAGCTTGTCTTTGCACACTTTCACCTTCAACCTTCACAGAAATACAACGATAAGAACAGAAATTTGCACGTGAAATAATTTCAAACGAGGTCAGGCTGGCAGGGCCGACACGGAGCACAAACTCGCTCCTCGATCAAGAACCAGAATTTTGGCCAAATATATATTCTAAAAAAATAATCAACACTTTCAAGTCGAATAAGCATTTTAAACGGATGAAGCGTGCTCAGGAACTGAGGCAGAAATTTCCAGTGCGTCAATACGACTGGGCTACCATGGCATCGCCTGCAAATATAAATTTGTGATCGCCGATCGCTGCCAGGTTTAGAACTTTTTCCTCCCTGGTGAAATCGGCCCCTTGCCGCTGCCGATTTACTGTACCACGGACTGCGGCACACAAGGATCCTCCTCTTTAGATGTCCCCCCCCCCCGTCGTTAAATAGGCGCTTGTATTTTTCCAGCACTAATTTATTCTTAAAAGCTCCCTTTAAAGATACTCGCTTTTTTATTTCGCAAAGTGCCAGGAAATTACGCGCATTCCTCGGTAAGTTCCAGAGGCTATCAATTTATTTTGGTTCATATATTTTTTGTTCCTGCACCAATAAAGTATATGATGCCCCCGATTATTTTCAAGACGAAGCACCACTTTAGAAGAGAGACTTGCCTTACAAGTTCATCTTGACCGGAATCTAAATTTGGAAAAAAATCACCAATACTATCTACTCCACAATAATTCACGTCAGATGACAACCCCCATAGGCACGATAGAATGTGATCAGTCAACACGAACTCGACGTGAGAATCGCTCGCTTAACAAGGAATATTTAAGACCCAGAGCCTTCGGATTGTTTTTTCTTTACCTTCTTCGCACACACTGTGCCGCCTTGCCCTTGTAGACCAGCCTTTGTCAAAGATGAAATCCAATTGTCAATTCAACTTTGGCTCCTCGGTCGTATACTTAATCCGCACGAAATTAACATTAGCAGATCTTTGGGTTTTAGAAATGCATGCCATTCTGACAACATATCACAAAAAAACGTCTCTTTTTCACACAACAGACATGACTACATGTCTGCAAAGGTGTGAGCGGACATGTGCGATTTTCCAAATGGAATCTTGCATATTGGGAAGTCAAGTGCAGGAGGCAGCTCCATATTTTGTTCATAATTGAACGGCATACTGCCTGCGCTATTGCAGACAATTGGCATCCTGTCACATCCCATAACCGTCATACATACAATGGAATACATTTTCCCATATCGTGCTTAATCATACCCAAAAGCTGCCCAAGCCAACTAGTGTGCCGTCACCTTTAGGAGGTATGTGTGAATTGGAGGGATTTTTTTGTTACCCCTATTTGAATTTCAGGCACCGACCAAGTGTGTGTTTAAGTTAAGGAATTGCATATCCTTGCACACCATGACATAATCTGTGGGCTCCTCTTTAAGCAAGGAATGTAACCTTTCTGTCTCATTCCATTGCCCCCCCCCCACTAATCTTTCAGGATGGCTACCAGGAAAGACCACCCATTGTGATTATAAAATGGCCTCACAAGAGAAGTTTCCTCCGAGCATGTAGATACAATCGCATATCCCCAGGCTGTGAGAATGTGAAGTTATGACTAACATCAATGTGCCTGTCCCTTGCCCATTTCGAAAAAGGTGCCTCGTTCATTGAGAAATGTAAGTAGGCATAATGCGAATAAAGCACGTTATTTAAATGTTGGTATGAGGGATCTGCAAATTACTTTGCAAAATGTTTGTGGTTATTAAACGTTCTTAAGATTATTTGAATTTAGCAAATGTGCCGAAGGCATGGCCAAACAAAGCATCTCTAGTATTCATGGAGGTTAAAAATATTATGCTTTAAGACTTATTTACAGGAAACAGCAGCAAACATTAATGTTTGGCAAATTCTTTAATCTGCTATTATTAACTTGCACTTAAATGCCAAAGTATAATGCAAAACAGACGCATCCTTACCTCTGTTTTCAACACAAACATTGACAAACATTGATGTGCATAGACGTATTTAATATTACTTTGGATCTTACTTTTTTTAATGCATTACACATAGGTGTGCACATGCAATGTGCCAGATACTGGCAAAGTATCAGCAACCACATGATAAAACACTGAACCATTACCCCCAGCTCTCAAGTTTCCGAGATGGTTAATCCATTGCGACGCAGGAGTGAAACGTATCCTTTCTATAGTCACAATGAAATCTTTACATCCAGCGATCCATGAATGAAACTTTAGCCTCAAATGGGCTGGTGCACTCTTTTTCCATACCCCCACCCCACACCCCCCCACTTTCAAATGGCCTAAAGATGAAGTGGGGAAAACTATTAAAGATATAAATGGAAATTTGCACAACGTGTGCATAAAGGCTGCACACTCAGGACTCAAGAGTTAATAAATATAATAGGAAAAATGTCACCAAAGGATGGTGGGGATATTACCTGGAGCTCACACCAAGCTACTTCAACTCCTGTCTCTGTATCCAGCCCTTTGTAAACAGTCTTGAAGGAGCCCCTTCCCAACTCTATGTCAAACTTCAGAAACCGGCCATCCGTCGAGGTGGCCACAGCTTTCATGCCGTCTTCCTCCTCCTCCTCTTCCTCAGGGATACTGGGAGAGGCCACAGCAGTTGGCCCCACTTCTTTCTCTGTCCGCTCGGCGTCCGTGGCCGCATCCAATTTTTCGACAGCAGCAGCAGCAGCGCCTTCGCTCAGCTTTTCCTTGTTCACGTCCACCGAGTCAACCTCCTCCAGTTGCTGCGGTTGACTTTGCTGCTGCTGCTGCTGCTGCTGTGGCTGTGGCTGCTGAAGCTGGATGCACACAGCCTGAAGCTGAGGAGTCCTGCCTTCGAGCACCATCAGCTCAGCATCCAACACGTCCTTGAAGTGGGGGCCGGCAGCCAGCTCCTCGCCGAGTTCGCAAACGAGGCCCCCTTCTTGTGGCTCCGCGGTCGTCACATCGAAGGCGTTGGGCAGGCTGGCAAGAGAGCGCAGGTCTTCAGCGGGCAGCGTCATGTTGGTGCTCTCGCAGATCACGCTCCGCCGGATGAAGCGGCCCCCGCCGGCGCCAAAACCTCCGCTGGCGAGGGCATAGCTGCCACCGGTCAGCGAATCCCGGTTGGCGTCGTGGCCGGCGGCCTTGGGCCTGAGCTTGGGCCTCATGACGGCGTCCGAAGAGGCGCGGCCTCTCATCGGCGGCAGGAGAGTGGGCAAGGATGGGCTCGGCTCACTCCTCTCGCCACCGGCGACGTCGCCGCCGCCGTCCGCACCCCGGCCCAGATCGCCATCCGGCACCGGTCGAGTCAACGAGGACGACGAAGACGGGGAGGACGAGGAACGCGCCGGCGCAGCCGCCCCAGCAGCCTTGCTTTCGGCTGTCGACATGCCTCTCAGCTCATTTCCCAGTGCGTTTCCCTCCACGGTCATAGCCCGAGATTGAAGAAGCGATGGGATATGAAGAGGAGGAGGTGGTGGAGGAAGAGATTAAAGCGACAAGTCCACCTGCCCTTGGATTCGGGAAGCGGATGTGGGGCCCCGAGAGTCGTAGCGGTGGTCAGGTGGAGAGAACGCTGCGGATACACACACACAATAAAACAGTGAACAAACAGTGAACAAAAAGGGATGTGAAAATGAGTGAAAGGAAAACCACGGAACAGAGAAATGCAGTGAGCCCCATGATTAATAACAGAAGCCCGTTTCTGACTTTATTATTTACACACACAGCCGCAGCCATTGAGTACCTCCTGTATAAACAAGCCACTATTTCTACACAACATACATACACACACGACATACCTTGACTGTGTAAAGCAATAGGCGCCGTGTACAATACATGACATACGCAGCATAATCCTGTGTCTCTGAAGGTACAGTATTCGTGTGGCTGCCAAGCATGCGCATAGCCCTGATGGCGTTCACCTCAGATCAAACATGCAGTAGTAGCCTCAGCCCACAATACACATGCCACCCGTTCACACACACACACAAAGGAATTGAGAAGGTGCATAGAAATTCGCATACAGCGCCGCATACAAATACATTCACAAATAAATATTCACTTAAAGCTTTCGTGACTGCAGGAATACATATTCTATGGATCCTTCGGTAAAGCCACGTAGATATAAAGAAAAGAAAAATATTATGACGTTTCGATCGCAACACAAGCAATCATCTTCAGACGTCTTCAGACGATTGCTTCAGGTGAAGACGATTGCTTGTGTTGCGATCGAAACGTCGTGACATTTTTCTACCTACGTGGCTTTACCGAAAGACCCAGAGAATATACATTCACAAATAGTTATATGCGCACCAAATATGCACGTTATAATATATACATGCAAACACGTGCACAAATACTCACAAGTTACAGTATTTTAAATGCACGGCAACACAATGATCCATGCGGATTATAAAATTGTACACGAATATACAAACACACACTGTGAACATATTAATACATAATTACATACACACATACAAAAATGCATAGTAAGCACATAATACATGTATACATACGAGGGCCGGCCCAAAATTCAAGGCACATGGGGTTATTTCATTTATTTTAACACTGGCATGAATTTTTGTTTATTTATTCCTAAAGTTAATATTTATCTATTATCAACGTTAATATATATTTGTTATTTCTTCATGTGGGGTCACCTCACATCCGTCATGTCCAAAAATCCACCACTAACTCTGAATGAACTGTGAAAAAACGTCATTGATGACTGCTCAGAGATTACACCTGTAATCTGTACAAAATTAAAATTCACGCGTGCATTACTATTTATGGAAATCAGATTGAACATTTGTTCAAATAAATATAATAACCAGGTGTCATCACTTTTGGGTCACCCTGTATAACGCTTGGCCAAATCTACGATTGGTTGAGGGCTCCCCCGCACTTTAAGGGTTGCAGGTTTATTCAACCATACATCATCACGCCGGAATGTGATGTATACAGACAAAAGCATTGAGAGTGTAACATCATCGACATGATACATCACGGTTATACATCATGCACACATTTACGCCGCATTACACGTAACTTTGCTGTACATATACCGCCAGAATAGTTTAGTTTTAACTGTACTGTACCTACCCACACGAACTTCAGGAAATGATTTCAGAAGTAAACAAAGGCCGGCTGTAAAAATGGAGTTAAATATAGAGCAGAGTGAAACAAATGTCACGTACATTTATTTCACGCACACACACAAAAAAAGGAAAATAATTGGAGGGAGACAACTGGAAAATGCAAATGTTCGGTGAACATATATTGTTTAAAGCTGGACAAGAATCACTAACGTTGAAATAAAGAGGCTAGCGAGAGCAGGCTGGAAGTGTCTTTCTTTTCGGGAGGATTTTAATGTGTTAACAATGCACGGAACAATTGTGCTTAGGATTAGGAAAGTTTGCAATTGCCTGCCGCGACATTTCTGGGATACAGACCCAGAAAGACTGCGCAAAAAAACTGAAAAGTGCACAAGTAGGAGCGAGGAGATATTCACATCGCTGGGAATGACAATAAAATTAAGATAAAACACGTGGGATCAAAGAACAAATACAATTTATAGGCACTATCAAAAGTAAGTGGGGGGGGGGGGGTGGCTTGGGAAGGTGGGTTGTCAGTCAGTCATGGACCGTACTGGCGATAGTGGCAGCCAAAATAGGGATCACGCCAACAAACAGCATTGATGGAGCGATCAGAATTATGCATTTTCCTGGAGGAATCCGCTGAGCTATAAAGCCCTTCCCAGATGTCCGATGAGATCAGCTCATGTGCAGGAGAGCGAGACTTGCTATGGCATCGCAATGTCCCCCCCTACAACCCCAACATCCAGCAGTGAGCAGATCACGGCTGTTTAAGAAAGTGCACACATGTAGGTGATACTGTACATATAAGATCAAGTACACTACAGTTGACATACGCACACCATATTAGACACATCAGTGGAACATATCTAAAAAAAAATACCTTTGCATGCACATATCATGGGCCATTCAGGTTGTACACGCACATCACCCACACATTACAGAAACATTGTACGCATCACATCGATAGCCCATACGTTTCCTAACTACGTAATACACATACACAGATATACTGCAACCAAACAACTGCACAATACCCACACGGCGTATGCCTACATAGTACATACATTACACACATATCGGACACAGCACAATTACTGAGACACACGTTACAATGCATACCAAATACATTACACACAAACATACACACGTATGCAGACTGTACCTTAATGACACCAACATACAAATCCTTCACGTCTGATAACCATACGGCCCTGTCAATCCACTGCTGGATGAGGGCCTCCCCACGCCGTGCGAGGCGTGAGGGTGACTCGATCACACACACACTCATACCACAACACACTCATACCACACATACATACACACTCACACTCATATCACACTCATATCACACCACACACACACACTCACACCACACACACTCACACTTACACCACACACACTCCTACCACACACACTCCTACCACACACACTCCTACCACACTCATACCACACACTCATACCACACACTCATACCACACACTCATACCACACACTCATACCACACACTCATACCACACACTCATACCACACACTCACACCACACACTCACACACACTCATACCACACACTCACACACACACTCATACCACACACTCACACACACTCATACCACACACTCATACCACACACACACACACTCATACCACACACACACTCATACCACACACACACCACACACACTCATACCACACACACCACACACGCGCGCTGCATACAGGTCGACATTTGGACGCCATACACGAATCCACACAACATAACAACAATACGTGTCGACATTCTACGAATTACATGAATGCAATACCAACGCAGCCACCACCACCACCGACCAATCCCAACCATCCCCCGTATTGACCACCAACGTTCACTGGGTGCCCGAAACGAAGAGAAACACCACACACACCACCATTACAAACCAGACCCGCGTCGCGACGATTCACATTCACGCGCGTAAAAAAAACACACACAAACACCTTGTCGTAATGTTACCGCCTTGTTAACACACACCACACACACACCACACATACACACGACATCTCGTTCCACGTTAACGGGCGACGTCGCGCTCTCACGTCAGTCAGGGCCGATGCGCCTCTGCCGTTGACCGCGGCCGTCATCATCGCCTTCCCCGCAGCATGGTGGTGGTTGTTGTTGGTTGTTGTTGTTGGTGGTTGTTGGTGGTTGGTGGTGGTGGTGGCTCGGGTTGATCGGTGGCGGTCGTCTCTCTCCTCCCCCTTTGCTCAACCCCCCTTGTGCGGATTCCGTGTCGGCCGCTCAAACGTTCAGTCAAGGCGCTCCTCCTCCTCCTCGGTTTTTTTTTAAATTTTGTTCCTTCTTAGCCTAACGACGACGATGACGACGAGGACAACAATAATAATAATTACACGACGCGTTCACGACTGGTCCCACTGGCGTTTTTGTTCGTTCGTTCGTTTTCGTCTTCTCGCTTTCTCCCTTCCGAGCTCGCGTCTCGGTCCGCCCGCCTCCTCGCTGCTCATTTAACGTCGAACCCCGTGGTGGTTGTGGAGGTGGGGGGGGGCCGGCCCACGTGGTGACGTCACAGCGCGGTGACATCACCGCCGCCATCTTAGGTGGGGGGGGAAGCGCGTCACACCGTCCGCGCCGGTGGTCAGAAGGGATCTTGGCTGTCGCCTGATGATGCTGGTTGATGTTGTTGTTAAATTGCCGGCGAAACGTCGTGCGCTCGGAGTGTAAATCTTGTAGTGGGTTTATTCTCCAACACACCGGTGTGTGTGTGTGTTGTACTGGTAACGAATTGCCACGTTCTGTTTAGGGGCCGTCCATAAATGACGTCACTCGATTTTGGACGATTTTTGACCCACCCCCCTCGCCACACGGCGTCACAAAAAGTCAGACCCCCCCTCCCTCAAATACGACGTCACAAAGCTCTGCCCCCCCCCCCCCCCTCCAATACCATATTTCCATTTTGAAAATAAAACATGCTTCAAATCGCTTTAAACTATTGTCATTGTAGTGCGTATTTAATGTGGCGCTGCACTCTGATGTAGGAGTGTTGTTATAACAATAGTGTTATAACAATTCTATGTTTATTTAAAGTTGCGTATTTTGATGTGACGTCAGATTTCTCACCCCCCCCCCCCTCGTCACACATCGTCACAAATGTCTGACCCCCCCCCCCCCCCTAGGTGCGTGACGTCATATATGGACGGCCCGTTACGTGGCAAACATTACTAATTAGCTGTGGCGGGTTTAACGACATTTATATTTACGCGACCGAACCCAAACACCTCTTATGAATAGTTTAGATGTATGCTATAACAGTACAGTACCTGTACAGGGTGGTCCAGATTGTCTTGTGATGGTATTCATTTCTGTTTTAAACAAATATTACTTTTAAAAAAGTTTTAGGGAATTAAATGGGGTGGTCACAGGACATCTGGACCATTCTGTAAGCATATCCTTTACTTCGGAATTTAGGAGAGGATTTTAAATGGAACACATCTAGACTGTGTCGTCAGATGAAATATCGTCTAGATTTGTTAAGTTTTAAAGTCTTTCGTTACATTTGAAGTAGATTATATTTAACAATACTTTAGTGAAAATTCTAGAACATAAATTATAGATTTACATCAGCTTTGTTTCTTGACATAATATACAATTAACGCGTCTTAGTCCATCAACCTATTCGCTTTCCAGACCAATTTTTGTTTTATCAAGCATTTGTTTTAAGCAAGGAAACTGTGCACACGTTTATATCTTACTGCGTCTCATCGGCAGTGAGGCTTGTTCAACAAATCCTGCTTTAATACCAGATGTCATTGATCAGACCACTCCATACAAACTGACCTCATTATTTGACAGTAAGTCATCAATGGCTACTTTGAAAATAAAATAAAGTGGGAGTAATATTAATAATACAATAAAAAACTTCAATTCGAGATTTTTGTAAAATAATTTTTATATTAAATAATATCGGTCTGAATAAAAAAGTAATATCAAGGCACTTTAAAGAGAATGTTCAAGAGAATGTTCATATAACCACAAACAAAACATAAATATGCATTTTAAATAACTTACATAAATACACGACACCAGCTAATGCAGTAACACAAACCCATTTTACTTATAGCCAGAGTCCATGGAGAGTAACATGTTTTTTTTTGTAATGGAGACCTCAATGTGTTGATGGAAGGGGTGCATAAGACTTCGACCCTTAGAGTAAAGTACAATGCATCTTCATCATTAGACCTCCTTTGCCAGTGCCACAATGTAATAATAGGGGGGTTTCTCCTTTTTTCTGGCAACAAAACTGAAAGTTTTTTTGTTTTCATTTTGACTGCAGGTAGTGGTTAATGCAGACATGAATCCTTGTAAAAAAAAGTTTCAGTTTTGTTGCAAAGGGGGAAAAACCCTATTATTACATTGCATCTTGCTACACTGCCCTCTGCTAACGAGTGACTCCGCAGTCAGCCTATAACACCTGATCAGAATATGTATTTTTTTACTGGAGGAATCCGATGAGCTAAAAAGCTCTTTTTCACAGATGTCCAGTACAGGCGGCTCAGAAAGTTACAGCACTAAACTATTTTCTATCTTACAAAGTAAAGCCCACTGAGCCGTTAACTTATACTTGCTATTTTTTTGTCCGTCCATGGACTGGTGTATATTGCAGTAAATCTGAAATATTCAATAGAAATATTGTTCAGATCATGATTATTAATGATGGGGGGGGGTGCCCCATGTGGAGTGACGTCACCCGCTAATGGTTATTGTGGAGGGGTGCGGCATGTGGAGTGACGTCACCCGCTCATGATTATTAATGAGGGGAGGAGTGCGGCATGTGGGGTGCACGACCTTGTGCGTTCTGTAAATTTCCACGCGTGCATGAATATTAATGGTGGGGAGGGGGGGGCTTTCTTACAGTGACGTCACACACAGATGTAGCACTGTGCTGCGTAGATATATTTTTGACCACCACTTTCTGTAAAAAAAACGTCGTCATATTTGAAGCGACTTTGCGTAATCTATTATTAAAAATTATTAGTGTCAAAATCCACCTACTCATTAATATTAATGAGGGTGGGGGGGTGGGCCTTATGTGGCGGCACGTCACGCGGAGGGGTGGGCCTCATGTGGTGTGACGTCACGCGGAGGGGGGTGGGCCTCATATGGAGTGACGTCACACGCGGGACACATTCTTTGTTCATCATCTGCTTAGGCTTCCGAGACTGCGGTCATTTGTATCGTCACATTTCAATCACCATTACACAATTTCAGTCCAATGTGTGATACCATTACCTCGCGCCAGCATCTCTTATCATACAATGTAACCACCCCCCCCCCCTTTATGTTAACCTTAACCTCGTTAAAATTTGTATTTAAAGCTTTCGTGACTGCAGCGATTCATATTCTTGGTTCTTTTTCTCCATATTTTAGCCAAGTCTGTCACGCTCTACCGGCTAATTATTTAAAACTGTAAGAGTTTTTTTTTATTCGACCGGGTGAATATAAATGTGTCGTTAAACCCGCCACCACTAATAAGTAACGTTTGTCACATAATCTTGGTTTCTTTCGGTAAAGTCACGTAGAAGGGAAACAATAAAATAATAAAAATATAAAACAATAAGATTATTTATTTTATTATCACGACGTTTCGACTGCAACACAAGCAATCATCATCAGGTGTGATGGTGTTGCAGTCGAAACGTCGTGAGAATTTTATTGTTTTATATTTTTATTATTTTATTGTTTCCCTTCTATTTGACTTTACCGAAAGAACCAATATGAATCCCTGCAGTCACGAAAGCTTTAAATAAAAAAATAAAAAGCGACTCAACGTTGAACCACGCTTGCCCTTCGCCGCTGCGACTTTATCCCCTGACCAACATGGCCGCCCTCATTTGCATATCTTTCAGCGCTCCCGTATACGGACCGATGGGATTTTCCACGACCCTCTTTGTAGATTTTTCTGGAACCACTATTTCAGTACCCGAACTATAATAATGTAATTTTAATTATTGTCAATGTCTTTTTAGTTATCTTGGGTTGTGTTTTTTTTCTCTTCATCCAGCGGTGGATCGATCGCGGCTCGTGGTTTGCACTTAAATACATTTTAACAAGTTTAAAAGTATGTGTCTGCGTGTAAGCTTAAGTGGGATTATTTAATCGTTGTTTAAAATTTTCCGGCAATAAAACGTTATTATAATTTTTTTAAATTTAAAAATTTGAAACGCCAACCGGCAAAAAACCGTCGCATATGGCGACGCAATATGGCGACCCACCCCCTGCGATTGTATTTCCCACAACGAATAAGCACCGCCCCCCACTCGCAACGCGCGCGCGCGATTGGCTCCCCCCACGGCAACCCACAACGTTGAAACCCCCTATGCTTATACGAACTAGGAATTCATTTTCCATTTTGCTTTAACACGTAGTATAAAGGCTTTCGCGACCAATTATTATCCATAGTAAAAGGGTTTTTTTTGCGGCTGGGGGTTAGTTCGCGTAAAATGTGCGTCGTTAAAAACCGCCGCCACCATTCGACACGCAGCAACTAACCGGGCACGTTTTGTTAACGTGACCAACATTCATTTTCCCATTCTAACATTTTGATGGGAGTTTGTGTCCCTTAAAATTCTGACATCCGGTTGATTCAATTTTTATTCGACTGTACATCAGCAACCACTAATGACTCCATTCGTTACGTTCTCTTGTACATTATATCCTGTTTCGTGGCCTTTCGTGATATTTACATTAGATTTAACAATGCAGGGCTGCACTTGAAAAAAAAGTAGCTTTCAAAGAAAATGCATGGAAATACGTGGAAATTACGCAGTTAATTGCAACATCAAAATGTTGTGATTCGGTTGCCATCAATGTGATCAATAACTCCTCAATGACATTTTTTTGTACGTGCAAAGTGCCACCGCAAACCCCGACAACTCGTTAATAATTTACTTATCCAGGAGAAGCGTACAGTCGTGTGACCTTTCATAACTGTCATGCATTGGGGTTTTAAAATAAATGCGTCGGTGATTCGTCTTCTTGTTTAACTACCTTCATTAACTCGGCTACCATAAACACATGCATTGAGTTAATGGAAGAACATGGGTGGGAGGTTATTTCCCAGCAGTAGGGAGTTACAGGCTTATACCGTAGAGTTATTATATTCTCTCCGTGTTCAAAAGTGTGAACATTGTTTTGTGACTCCAAATGACCCCGAACGGGTTTTTTTGTGCCCTTTGCTTCTTCATTTCTTCTTTGTTATATAAACCACACTTTAACATACTGTATTTAGTTTTTAGATAATTAAATAGGGATTACAAGAAATATGGACCAGACTGTAGTGTTTCCACAATGTATTGTGGCTCATTTGTGGCAATCACTGTTATCCTTCCCCCAGCACCTCCAATTAGCAACATAAGTTCAACGTACATACAAACTAAAACTATTTTTGTATTTTACCAGGTAAGCCCCACTGAGCTATGTAGCTCTTTTTCAGAAGGGACCTGACCACAAATGATAGCTCAACTATTACGTGGAAATGTATAGCAACCAAATAC